TGCTGAACTCTCAGCACATTTCAAGCTCTTGTTTTGATGACATGCCAAAAAAAGCAGGTAATGACCATTTCAGATTTCCACAGCCCATACATTCTGAGAAGTGATGCTTGGTACAGTATGAAAAGAGCCCCAAGAATTACATACCATGCTAGTATCTGTCCCATACTTACAGTGGCTGAAGGTGGCAAAGGAGGAATTTGTAGCAAAGCAAGTACTCAAGGACAGACTTATGTTACTCTTATTGAGGCTTAAGAATGGTAGAGTTACTGCACAGAGGTGCCTGTGTGGGGGTGCAGACTGTGGTGCTACTATTACTCAGCAGTAAGTCAACACTGCTGAAAAAGCATTTCCACTTGGCTCAAAAACCCCAATATTTTTCCACAGTGGGACATGTAATGTTTGCTGCCCTTCATCCCTTTCTTTAGTATCTCTGGCCTCATGGTTTACAGCAGGAAGAACAAAAAAACCCCAACCCCATAACCTCAAATTGTCTGCACTCTCTGAAATACTTATTCAAAGCACACTAACTTTGTGGCTAACTAGAGCCAAATGTAGGGACCATGTCCCTCAAAACTCCTGTGCACTACCATAACACCACCAACAACCTATTTTTTACATGGAGAGACTCTCCATGCTGTTCAAGTACTTCACTGCTCTGTTTAAAAAACAAAGCAAAATTTCTATAAAGGTATGCACGCCTAACATGTTTAAACTACAGCTGGTCACATTAGGAGACCCCACCACTGTGATCATGAATTTAGGGACAAACATCAAGCCATAAATATATATCAAGGTCTGGATATATATCTTGCCAAATACATGGAGACAAGTAGCAACTGAAAACTGGTTTATGCAACTATTAGGAAGTTTTCTCACAGAGATGGGAGTCTGAAGGGCCAGAGAGTGGAAGAAGGACTACAGACCGACAGACTGACTGGGAAGGACAGTCCCAGGCCAGTGGAGGCAGAAGACACCTCTTGCACAGAAGGACATCAGCACGCTGCAGGGAACCAGCGGTTCTCCCCTCTTCACCCGGACACTTCCACTGGCAACATCCAGCTCCAGCTGCCCAGATAGAGTGCTGGAAAGGGCCCTGCCAGGGTGAGAGGGAAGCTCTAACTCCTACTGCCTAGAGCTGCCCTCTAGAACCTCTCAGAGAACCAGCTGATGGAGAGATTCAGTGGATGTCCCGTCAAGCCCTCAATAGAGGCAGGTGAAGCATGAGATCCTTTCTGCTCAGTCAGGGCAATGTCATTCACACAGTGTTTCCTCCGCTCCTTGTCAGAGCACTGGGGACAGGGGTCAGAGCTGTCACATCTTGCAACACGTGGAAAAGCTTTCCTTTAGCTGATAAAGATGGCACATCAGCATAATTTCCCCACCAACATACAGCCTTAAAATGGAAATAACACACTTTCTCATCAAGTCCCCCCACTAATACAGTTTTACACGTGTTTTTTATGTAATCCTATATTTAAATCTATGGATTATTTATGAAATGAAATACAAACAACCCCTTATTAACCTGTTTAATAAAGACAGCTATACCTTGCTCTGAGATGACCACTGAATTTCTTACCTCTGTAAGAGGAGCCATTGAGTCAATGCGATTTTTTCACATGAATGAAAACTAATCACATGATTAAGCACTATGGGCACAGACCCTTAATATGGTTATTTCCAGCTTTAAGTAACAAAAAAGTACTGAGTTTACAGAAGCATTCACTGAAGCTGCATTAATCAATATTATATTCTACAGGCATGTTTTCCCCTCCACACATGGAAATTACTGTCTACGCTATTTACGGCCATTAAATGTCAATCGAGGCAAATGCTGAGCAACTCTTATTTTCAAAAGCAATGTTATGGAACAAACAGGACTCAACAGCCACCTAAGCTAGAGATGTAAAGAACAGAAAAGTCAGCTACAGTTGTATTAGTTTAAACTGTACTGTGCCTTACTGCATGCCATACTACTTTAACCTTTTGACACATAATGACTATGAATTCTCAGAAAAGAACAACTGTAAACAATGATTAAATAGCTATCTTAGGCAGCATCCTTTCTGGATATGTAATACTGCAGATGCTAGGCTAGGGAAAGCTGGCTACTGAGATCTGACATCTGCCAGTGGCTTAATAAAGTTATTTTAATTTTCTGCCCTCTATCTGAAAAACAGCAGTTATTACTGCTTTATGTACAGTTATTGCTCTTATCTTTATTTTATTTACTGTTACTACTCTTTTCTGCAAAATGCCAAGACAATGCTAAAATAAACATGCTAAATACACCTTCAGTGCCTATGGATTCCTATGCCTGAGTTTGTGAGTGCTTGGTACAGAACTAGTCATATTATCACACAAGGAAGAAGATGAGGATTAAGGATGCTTTATATACCACATGACTGGTTTTACAGGGCTTCGTTCCCTAATAACCTGCTGGTCTGTTGGAAGCACATGCAAGCCGCTACT